GACCCAGGCATGCTGTCTTCTTGACACAGAAAGGACCATATAGTGGGCGAGATAGAGGACGTCGGGGCCCTGAGCGTCTTCCGCACGCGTTACGTCGAGGGCGGATACGCCTACAGAGTCGTCTCTTGCAGTCGTTTGCGATGCTCTGTACGTTGGGCTTCGTGGTCGTAGCAGCTGGCCCTGTCGCGATCACACGATCCCTTGCCGACTGAGCATCACTTCGATGATGCAGGTCGCCATTTGTGCGCTTCAGTCGACCATGACCTGCGCGCCGCAGCGCCAAATCTGTAGCGGTTCGTAGGGAGGGTAGCTGAAGGTGACGCGACAGCGGCCACGGCGGCCACGGCAATATCGTTGGTCGGTCGTGGGTTGCGACGGTGCAATGGCAACAGGGGAGAGAGGTGACGATGGTGAGGAACGTCAGGGTTTGCAGTTGGGGCTTTGAGAAGCCCCGAGCGCTTGGCGGAGACGCTACACCAAGAGCGACATCTCCCGGCAGAAGAAGACAAGCACGGAGAGTCTGAAAAAGGCTCTTGGATGAAATCGAAAGCTTCACGAAGGGTTCTGTAGGACCAAGGTTACGCTGCAGGAAGAGGCTGCGTATCGCATGTTCTACTGTACAATGGAGAGGCAAACACCATATATATTGGCACTTCTCCAGGACGAGATGGCCCGCAGCAAAACAGTGCCACTCACGACCGCCCGTGCCATTGCGCAGTCACAGAATGTCGGAGCAGGAGGTTTGGGGGATCTTGAGGGACGCATCCGCAATATTCAGAGACGAGTAACCTTGGTGGGGCACTGTATTTGCAGAAAACGCCTGACAACTAGCAGGTTCAACAGCCCCAAGCATCACCGGAGACAGCACAGCAGGAGGCAGGTAGAGGTTCAAGGCGAAGTTACGAATGGATTATTAATGCATATCTGCGAGACCTGCTTTCGATGTACCTTGCGCTCAACGTGTTTGTACCCTCTCAGTACTTGTGAGCGTGGCTAGCGGACGATCAAACCTCGCATCAGCTCGGGCTCTGTGGGTACGCGCCGGCGTCTCCACGGCCGCGGCAACATCTTACGCCATCTGACGACGAGCCTCATGCAACGCATGCGCATCGTTGGTCTGTACACCCAAAGGACGTGTGTCTGTGCCGTGGAGCGGAGTGCGCAGCTGCAGATTC